TCCGGCTCCTCCTCCTCTCCAGACCGCCCTCCGCAGCGATGGACGGAGACGGTGAACCAGGTAGCCGCTGCCACCCGGATCCGCTCGCTCGGCCCGGGAGGGGAGACCGAGGCAGGCGGGCGAGCGAATGCTACGGAGAGGGGGCATCAGAAAGCGAGGGGGTCCCGGAGACCGAGCGCGACAAACTTTCACCCACGCAAAGCCCTTGAAACAGTTTTAAAAGAGCACAGCCCTGTGGCTGGAGGCCTCCAGAGGTGACAGGCAGGGAGGGAGGACTCCTGGGTCCTATTTACCGGGGGGAATAGTGTAGGGGTAATCCCACATTCTCGCCTCTCAGCTTCCTGAGGGTCTGTTGGGTCCGGGTCTGGGACACATCTGGGATGCCGGAGGCTGCAAGCTTTTTTTTCCCCCCATCGACTTATTACATTTGCCAGCTCTGGCCCTTGAACTGCGTGTACCCTACGGCTTTCTTGGGGTTACCGGCTTCTCCTCACCCCATCCCTGCCTTCCTCCTTGGCTGCCTTGTCTGGAGGGGCTGCTCTTCAACTGGGTGGCCGGTTGCCCAGTGGGATCAGGCCAGCGGTGAGGGAGAGTTGGGGCACAGCTCAGAGCCTTCTGAGACTGCCCAGTCATCTTGCCTGGCACCAAAGACCCCCCTCTCCCCATCCCTCAAATTCCCTGCTGGGCCTGTAGGGGTTGCCTGCTGAGTCAGGGTGGGAACAAAACCTGCCTGCAGATTTCCCCACCCCGGTCCCAGCAGGCCCATCTGAGAGTGGGCCTTCCTGGAGGAGTCAACAGGAAACATTGATGCATGCTCCGGTAACCAAGCCCCTCTCTCCCCAGCCCTGAAACTCCCAGCTCCTTCAGCCCCTGCTCCCAATCCGTGACCCCCTTGCCACGCCCTCTAAAGGGCCCCAGAATGGGCTCCTGCTTTTTCCCAGGGCTCAGCTATTCCCTGGACTCCAGGGCCCAGTGCAGGTGAGTGAATCAGCCTGGGAGGCAGCTTCTAGGGGCCAGATAACTTTCCGACAGCAACAATGTGGGGAGTTGTGTGTACTGGAAAGGGGTTGGGGGGGGGCTGTAATTAGATCTGGGGCCTGGAGTGCCAGGCCTGGGGCCAGAAGAGGGGACTGGGCAAGGTGCACCTTTCGGGGGAGCATCAGGTGTCCACCAGGGCCAGGGCAGGGCAGGGGGAGGGCTGGAGAGGTGAGGACACTGGGGCTGGCTCCCCAGAGAGCTGTGGGCAGCAGAACAGGCAGGTGATGCAGCTTCAGGGCCTGGCATTTTCCTTTCTGTCTGCCCATTGTTCTTTCGTGTGACTTGGGAGAAGCTAGGAAACTGGGCCTCAGTTTCCTCTCTGCAAAAAAGAAAGGGTAAACCCCCGCATCATAAAGATGTGCCCCCCCCCCAATGCAGCTAATAATGAAGGAAAGCGTTGTGCTCAGTAAGATTCACTAAATAAGATTTGCGGAGGACTGACTGTGTGCTCTCGGCTCTGAAGAAGAGGTAAACCCTGGTTCAGCTCTCAAGGGCCTGACTGTGGGATGGGGGAGAATATGCTACATGTGAGGAGGGGTGGTAAAGCCTGGCAGGCTGGGGTCCTGGCAAGACCCAGACTTGGGTCTAGGCCCTGCATGTTCTCCCCCCTCCCCCTGTTCAGCCTGTTTCTACCACTGCCTGGGCTTTCCAGGCTCTAGCCCTTAGGAACCCCCCATCCTAGATC